CCACCATGTCCAGCAACGACACATCATTTTCGTCGTGCTCTTCTGTTGTACTATTTGAACAACATGATTCATCGACTTTTTTCTGGAAAAAAACTCCTTCTGACTGGTATTAACCATGCTAACCCTATCAAACATACTTTACACTCATTCTGACTGATCCCCTCAGCTGCGACTGATCTGCCCTCTCGTATCGAGCCATCATCGGTACACACATGCTGAATGAGTTCTATTTGAAGGCACAGCCACGGTCACCGTATGGGTATGGACGGAGGCAGGCCTACCACTGCACCTCTTTCGTTGGTGCTCCCCTGTCTCCTGGTAGGCAGCGTATAGACTTCGCGCAGCGCTTCGATCGCGCGTTCGATGCAGCAGAAGGCATGCGCATCAATCGCGACGGAAGCGCCGCCGTCTCGAAGTCTGAACGCTGCCGTACAGCGAAGAGAAGTGACGTGGCGACCGGAGAGGTACAACTGTAGGAACGACTCGACCGATACGATCAGAGTAATGAGCGCACTAGCATTACTGCACCTCTAAAGAGAAATTTGTCCCCTCTCCACTAGAATATAGACCGCCAGCGTACGAGGTGCCTTGGTGTGCATTACCGTTGCGCAATTAACTCAGCTTTGTAAATATATAAAGCATGACATCTTCAAAAATAGAGCTTTCACCGTCGGTCACCCCCTGCTTGAAAGGCGATAATGGATTCGTGGAGATCACCTATTATACAAGTTTTTTTATACTGGCACATACACTGGTCTGCGATTTGACCTCCCCCCTCAACCATGCGCGTAATAAGCGCGTACCACCACTATAACCACTATAACACCTACGCCTCTTGTGGAAAGATATACTTAGAAAGAACTCCAAGATCATTCTGATTGGTCCCCTCAGCTGCGACTGATCAGTCCTATAGAATCGAGATATCATCGGTGTAAACTGGTTGATGAGTTCTATTTGAAGGCACAATCCACGGTTAGCGTATGGGCGGAGACAGATCTACTATTGTGTCTTCTTCGTCGGTGCGCCCCTACCTTCCGGTACGGTGAACAGAAGCGGTGCAGCGATCAGAACACGCACGCACTATAATGAGATATCATGGCGGTGTAAACTGATTTGATGGTTCTAATTGAAGCTACAATGCGCATGGTTAGTGCCGTAAAGGGGGGGTGGGCGGAGAGCAGATGTAGCTATTGTGTCGTTCTTCGTCAGTGCGCGCGCTTACCTTCCCGGTACGCGTCGAACAGAAGGCGGTGCAGCGACCAGGAAGGAACTAAGTGTAAGAACGACCTCCACGATGCGATTAGGCGTGGACTAGAGCATTTGGATTTCTGCACGTTGAAAGAGAAGTTTGGTCCGTCCTCAGCGATCGAATACAACCCCTCTCCCTCACCTTTTTTTTGTAGATTGCCAACGTACGACGCGCCTTGATGTGTATTATTTACGCCGCAATGGCCTGAGCCCGTAGATATTATGATAGCTCAAGCGTAAGCATGAAGCATTTTGTCATCGATCAACTCCTACTTTGGAATGCCGCGCGTGCATACTACTTGCCTTTCAAATGCGTAGTGCCCATTGAGTTGATGTGGGCTTGCGGAATCAACAACTTAGTTACAGAATTGCGCACGAACGGCTACGAGGCATAAAAGCCTTGTCGGGCGGACGTAGCTCGGCCCGAGTGATTTCAAGCCGCCGCCCCCGCTGAACCCGCACGCGTGGTAAGCGTGCCACATACCACTATACCACCTACGCTTCTTGTAGATGGATAGACCGAGACATTTCAGAAAGAAGTGGTAAATACGAAAGCTTCAAAATGCTGTGAGTATCAATCGTATACAGTGTTGCCAGCTGGGGAAGTGACGTTCCAGATGAAGGGGTGGGTTTGGCGCGGCGCTAGCCGGATCTACCAAAAGTTTAAGCATACAGGCGATTGCAGTCGGAGGAAACTTGGCTGGCGCCACGCCAAACCTGACACCCTCCACCCCCAGACCCCAGACACGCCTCAACGTCAGCAGCGAACAAGACCTTATGCTCCTCCTGAATATCACAGTTAATACAAGTATAAAATTAGCTAGAAATGAATAGTCGTGGGGGGGGAAGCAACGAGATTAACTCACTTTTTCTTCCTGTGTAGAATCAGCACTTGTACGAGGGTCAGACATCCCTGAAGAAACAATGACTAGACAACAAGAATATTCGTAACAAGGAAAAAGACGAATAGCAACGGTCAGACTTCGCGACAGCGTCGATCGCGTGCCTGTCGCAAGATCTGCCGTCGCGAAGTCTGAACGCTGCCAATCTGGCGAACAAATGACGATGAGGCGAAACCCCCGAATCCAATGTGAGTGTTTGAAAGAATAGTGAGACCGAAAAAATCATTAGAAATATAATTGCCGGAACACGCTTTCAATAAGCATCTCATTTCCAAGTAATTTCAATATTTATCCCCTATCTATACCTATCATGAACATAATATCAACAAACAATTACGTCGCAACAACGGTCTTCTTCGCTTTTCGTTTTTTCTTAATGGACTTCTGTAGTTCACGGCATCTTGCATTGATTAGATACGGTATACGTGCCCAGTCCGTCTTCTATAAACGTGGAAAATTAAACTATGAACAAAAAAAACTTCGGTAAATACCGTCTTGGTCGCTGCGGATGAAGGGGCGTGTCAGTGAGGTTTGTTTTGGCGAGCATCCAGCTCCTTCGCCTAGTCTTCGAAGGGGGAAGGGCCAGCCACTGGTGAAAAATAACGATACGAAAGATATGATGCAACCTTGTATACAGCAAAAAAGAAAAGAAAAAACAGACCGGCGCTGTGCCAAACTCATCCCTCTGACACCCCATCATCGGCAGTGAACCAGATTATAAATGAACCTACCTCATCAGGCGCACTATCGACTTGATTTTTTCTATTCGGATTTTCAATCTCAGCCTCGAGGCGAGACAAGACATTCATGGCATAGCGCCGATTTTCTCGTGCTTTCTCACCGGTAACCGCCATTATCCGTCGTATACCCTTCGCTGATGAACGGTCGCTCATAATTGCGAAGTCAACTATCGACGATGTATTCAAGACATGGCTGAAATGGAGCTAACGTTTAATTACGTTATGTTAATGTGTTGAAATCAACTGAAGCAGAATGCGATAGAATGACTGGTTTTATATGAGGCCTTCTACCGTCTACGGTCTTTTCCCCACGGATGCGGGTTGTATCAGGGAAGGGGTAGTTTTAGCGCGGCATCAGCGTGTTCTCTGCCAATAGTTGAAGAAGTAAATCGGTGGAAAACGGGCTAGCGTCATGCCAAACCCGGTCCTTCCTTGGCACGGCCCAGCATCCACAGAGAACATGACTGTACGCATGATGAGTTTACCATGAGGGCC